TGCACACAAACGTTTTTGAGCTGATGACAAATTCTCAACCATTGAGTAAATTCACACCCAAGTCAGGTGTGGCTTTACAGGGCAATGACCAGATAGTGCAATTACTGCACTGACACTCCTTTGGTCAGTGACTACAAAAGGTCTCCTTTATTCAAATGACGAGATGCCATACGCCGAAAAAGAGCTGTCGGGATGCTGCATGGCAGTTAGAACCGCAGTCAGGCTCTTAAATGTCCACAAGTCCATCATTTGTCGACCATTTGTCACATCAGGTTTATCTTTGCGAGTGGCTCAGAGACTTCAGATGAAGTTGCTGGTGTGAATAACCAGCTAATAGTTGTTCAAACTGTGAGGAAGCTCATTGCCCACATTAATGTCTCAATCTAATAGCAGAAGGGTTCCAAGAGGCAACCTGTTATGTTTGCTGGACACGAGCAAGATGGAGGATGGTTCTTTTCAAAGACGAATGTCATTTTCAGCTGTACAGAGCAGATGGCAGAAATTGTGGATGTCATTGTTGTCCAGAAGTTGACCAATGGAGGAAGAGGAACAACGGTATGAGCAGGTATACACCACAAAGGAAACATCTGCATTTAATCAATGGCAATCTCACTGCCCAACAGTTTCGAGATGAAATCCTCACAGCCGATGTTATCTTTTTCATTTACCACCATCACACGGCACACCAACAAGATAGCATCTGTCTTCATGTTGCCACAACAGGCACTGCCCTTCTAGCAGCTCAACATGTTCCAGTCGTGCTCTGGCCTGCAGACTCTCCAGAACAACTGAACATCTGTGATGCTCTGGAAGGACGTGTATGACAACGAGATCCTGTCTTTCAAAAATGTCCACCAGTTTCACCAAGCGTTTCAGGAAGAGTGGGACAAAACTTCACAAGTAGCATCGACAGCCTCCTTAACTCTGATGAGGCATTAACTAATGTGTGACTCATTACCAACTTGTGACATCTGGTCCATGACCCCACTCTGGATCTGCTCACTATCATTTCCAACACAGTGCGTACTAGCAATGTCAACCATTTAAAAAGCACAACTTAGAACAAAAAACAGCTCATCAGATATTATGCTTTACTTTTACACTGCAGTCATGTCCGCATACGTGAATGAATTAAAAAAAAAAAGAAAAAAAAGACTATTAGGCCAACAGCAATTTGACATGCATTACAAAAAAAAGATCTGAGTTTTTTTTTGTTTTTTTATCATCCCAGTGTGAGCAGCGGTCTCAGCCAAGCCAAAAAATTGTCGCTGACATTTCGTCTTTATCTTTAAAAGTTGGCCCAGTGGATTTAGTGATAATAAAGTAAACACCTGACTTGTGGTCCAGCTGGCTCAGGGACAGCAGTATCGAGTGTCGAAGTCCTGACTGTAAGAATTACAAGATTTTTCTTTGAGAGACACTACAGTTGTAAATACAGAGAACAAGACTAGAAGAAAGGGAATAAAAAGTCAAATAAAAGAACATGACCAAGAAGAGGAAGGTCAACAAGCTAGGAGCAAGTCGGAGGACGATGAAATGGACCATGGTAATCTTTGTTAAATCTTGAAAAAGCAACAAGAAATCAGAATGTGGGCACCTGGTAGGATAAAAGAAGAAAATAATCCCCCAAAAATATATATAAAAAAATTAATATATTAACATCAAATATATTTTAAATATTTACTAGCAGTAGGCTACATTGGCTTTATTTGCCCTGTGGCTAATTAGGGCCAAAACAAAGTTTTGAGTTTAATTAATAATAGTGGAATAAAATATTCTAAATAGCTTTAGCATGGTTAAGCTTACCCTAGTGAGGATTAAGCGGTGTATAGATGATGGATGGATGGTTAAACTTGAACAATCTAGCTAGTTTTGTGCCAACAGACAAGCAGTCCAGATCAGGCAATTGTCAACTTGTAGAAATGTTGCAAATAGCTTGAGTGTAAAAGCAAACCCTGCTGATGGGACGCTATGATAAACGGGCTCGTCGCCAAAGAAAACCACACAGGTTTCCACATGCACCGTTTCATCAGTACACACACAGACAACTTCTTCTGTCATACAATGAACCTAAATAATAACTCATACTGTTGAACAACATGGTTGTGTTGTGTTGTAACATATTACAAAACGTGTGTGGTGGAACAAAAAATTCAAAACACAACAGTCTCAGCTTGTAATTCCACCATGATGTGACTTTTAAATGCAGTCAATTCAATCTAGTTCTTCTTTCTGCTCTTTATAATTTCTCGAATGCAACAACACAATGTCGCGCTGTTAGTCTACACACTGTGCGTCCTACAATTTGGGTACACGACATCATGCTAACTCTGTGCATGTGACAGGCGTACATAGTCTTCATTATATTTAGATTTTTTATCTTTATTCTGCTTTTGTATTCCTTGTCCTGTCTCTTACTCTGCTTCGTTTGTATCTAGCTCTTATTTTAATCTAAGAGTATTTGTTTAACTGAATTTATTCCAGATATTAACTATAAGTTCAACAAACTTGTCTGTTTCTTTGATCAATCGTGACAAAATAAATACAAAACCCCACTTGACATCATAATTGAAGTAGATTTTCTTTAAAAGCCACCATGTCTAAGATGCATTTCCACTCTATGCGGCAGTAACGCTCTCATTTTCACTGAGACATGAGCAGTATCAGTTTTGTTCAAACAAGAACATGCTGTAATATATTAATCACATTAAAATCCACACACACTGGAAACGTCTGAATACAAATTGATGCAAAAGCACAAGAATCAATTAAAATCTTTATTTTTACTAAAAAGAAATTACTCTCAAAGAATGTACACATGATTCTCTGGGTTCACCGTTCTCCTTAACATATATTTAACATTTCATTAACTCACTGTACCAGTCAGTAGGGATGCTAAGGAAATGGTGGAACATAAACACAGCAGCTTCCTGTATTTTCAGACAGATCAGCAGACACAAAACAACAGGAAGTCCTGTGGTACAGCTGGCTGAGGCAAACAACAGAAAGGCACGTGAAGTGTTTAAGACTCACACTGAGGTGCAGTGTCGATGCATCTGGGTTGTTTTGCAGCACAGCTCATATTAAGTTGCACTTCCAATTGCTTATTGTTATTAAAATATATATAAAAATATAAGCAATCCACCGTTGGTCGAGGAAAATTTAGAAATAAAAATAATTAGATTCAAGTATTGCAGGTTTAAAGCTACAAAGCAAGACCCGAGCTGAGTCAACTGAGCACTAGTGCACTACTTCGCCAGAAATCACACCCATTTATATAAATTATGATATGCAACGTTTTGGAGACATCTTACTTTGTAAAGCTGCAACAATTAATATCTTTATAATAGCAATGAATAAATGACTCGGTGCAATACAACAGCTACAGGTAAACCATCACCCACCTTTTCACTTAAGCTCCATGGAGCATTTTTGCATTTTTTCACTTTGCTGTTTTGGTTTTCTCGCCCACAAACTGCTCTCATTAACCCAGTTTCTAGTCACAGCAGGCAGCTGTAGCAGACAGGCAAAGTTAGCAACGATCTGGAAAACATGGAGCAGCATGTAGAAGGTAAAGAGAGAGAAAGCTGTGTTTCTCAGGGGCTGGTGAAGAGCCAAAACAGAGCAAAAAGGAGAGGGAATTCTGAACTTATAGGTTTCATGTTGCAAGAAACACATTAGAAATATTTTGAATTTTGCTATGTGATTTCTGGATGTGTCAATAAACAACAGTTTGTAACGATTTCTGTAATTTCTATGGTAATAATATATCAATGTAACATTTTCAGCTTGTTTTGTTGCCCCCAGAGTGGCCAAAAATAAAATAATGTCATTAATGCAACATCAAACGAAAGAAAGAGTTTTAGTAATCGGAGGCAAAAGGCTCAGTGACTAAGTTTACAATAATTATTTTTTTCTAAAAACACAAAAGCAAAAGATTCTGTCATATCAGTTTGGCTCATCCTAAAAACATTTCATTTCTGTTATGACAGTTTTATGCCTTTAATGCGAAACTAATGCAGCTGAGACTTTTAAGACTTTCAAGCAGTTAGCTAATATCTGATCTAAGGCACAACTAAAGTTGCTACGTTGAAATGCAGAAGGTGGTGGTTTAAGACGACCGATTGATGGGCAGAAACATCCGTCTTCACTACATGAACACCACTGGGATTCTGCCGCTCACATTTGTTTGGTCAGTTTAACCACACAGAAGCATCCAGTGAGACACATTACAGATAGTTTGTCATATTTTACCGCTTCCCCGACACCAACAACATCACATCTGTCTGAACTACGGCGTCTCTCGCGCACAAAAAGCAATAAATGTGACATAAAATTTGACGTTTTGTGGGCAGAGAAGCAACACGTTATATTTACGAGCAGAAATGTGGATATGTAGAGAAGGCAGTGCCACTTTTAAGGATCCTTCACTCTTCACTGGAAATCCTCCTGACGTCCTCATGGTGTTCAGTCATCACTTTCACTGCCCGACTCACTCAGCTGGAGGTCACTCTCTGCAACACAAGAAGATGGCAAAAAAAAAAAACAGTTTTTAAGGCCTGGTGATAAAACAAATTCTGCAACTATTTGACTTTAATCATTAACTGTGTATTTTCTTCAGTGTTCCTGTGGTTCAAATGTTTAATCTGTGCTTGCAAGCCAAAATTCCTGAGACATAATTGTTAAACTGAGGCTGATAAAGTCACAGACATTGACACACTATGTCTCTCTAAACTGAGCCTTGGCCTTTTAGTGTCACAATAATCTTTTAGACTTCTTTCACAGCTGAATGCATGCAGTTGCTGTTTTCCTGCTACCATGTTCAATTTAGGAGCAATCAGCTGGCATTAACTTTTGTTTAAAAAAAAGGTTAAAAATATGAACTATATAAACTAAGCCCTCTGACAGCTGCTACTCACTCAGTGTGTTCATGAGTCCTCCACTCTCCTGGTGGCGGCTGTTGCTGCTGCTGCTGCTGCTGGTGGTGCTGGTGTTTATGATAGGCATGCTCGGGTAGGCTGGTGTTAACGGCGTCGCAGAAGTCCGTTCATCTTCTGAATCACTGCTCGAGCTGTCATCGCTGCTGGAGGATGACGAGCTGTTAGAGTCCGAGGAGCCGTCGCTGCTGCTCATCTGATCCATGACCCGAGCCTCTGCCATCAGTTCTGCACAGAGCGGAACATACACAAACAAAAGGTGAAGAAGTGTGCAATAGTTAACACTTTTAAGTTAACCATTTTAGTGGAAAGTGTGCATTGTTCAGCATTGTGCAGTGTTCATTTAGATCCAGACATGGTGTAACTAGGGATGGGTAACGTTATGATTTTAACGGTTTCACTACTTTTACAGATACTGCTTATCAGTCCAGTACTTTAACAGTATTCTTATCAGAACTTTTTGAATGTTTTTGTTTGCTGGCTTTGCTTTTAAAGAGAAAAAATAAACAAATTAAGAAAACAATAATTATTCTCTAAAATATGCTGTATAGAAAATAAAGTGTATGTAGACACTAATGTTGTGTTGATGGGATGATCAGAGCACTACACAGTGTTACAGGTTTTACTCACAAAATAAAATATTACTTCATTAAACTGTCCAGCATTATATCAGAAATACATTCAACAGATATTAAGTAAATGTCAGCACATTGTGCTCATAAAACCTATTTCCTCTTCCCTTTGAGTATTAAACCAACGCAGGACTTTGACAGTATTTTTACTGTGATTCTAACAGTTTAGTAAAGACAACAGTTTAAGTACTTCTACCACTAACACCAACATTCAACCACAGAAAGTGAAAAAAAAAAGTAGGACAGGGTTTGTCTGCAGCCTCCAATCACTAAATCCTGCTGTTCTGTGCTCTGACAGTGAATTGATATTCTGATTGGCAGTTCAGATGACACTATAAATGTCAGATTGAATAGATGAACACAGCCAAGGTTAAACAAACAGCTGGAGAATATCAACTTTTAATCTTTATCCTACGTTCGTATAGTTTAGTTAACTCCCCATGTGCAGGCTGATAGCAAAGATAAAGTCCCTGTTTAGTGAGGGATGAACTATGAGCTCAGCAGTCAAGCGTTTCTCTGTCTGTACCTGACAAACTTTTTGAAAGTTTCAGCAGATTGTTTGTGTTTCTGCTCTGACATTCGAACGACTTGTTACTTTTGTGGCAACAAACATTTTTTGCATCAACTGCAGTGAAGTTTAATGGTTCACCTGCACGTGGCCCTGAGCTGCAGGTGAGTGACAGAGCTGCTCCGCCCTGAACACACCTATTTGGATTTGGAAAGCCAAAGTGCAATGATGAGACAGAATGTGCAACACGACGTTCTTACTTTCTAAAGTACCGTGAGCAGAACCGTTTACGTCGGACCTTATTGATCCTCTGGTGTATAAAAATTTCACCCCAGGGGTCATTTAATACCGGTTACCCATCCCTAGCTGAAACGTTGACGAAAAACCTGCAGTAGACGTTCTTTAAAGCCAATATTGTGAAAAACACTGTGCCTCACACCACGTTACCTCTCTCAATGTCGTCCATGGGGGATGCTGGAGAAGTCTTCTCTTTAGGAGGAGAACTCTTGGAGCTGGTGGAGGTCTTGCTACTGGTGCTGCCGCTACTACTCCTCATCTGCTGGCTCAGACGACTGGTCTGTTGTTCCAGGCGAGACTGAATCTTACTGCTGCCCTCAGCCCTGCAAATGCACAAGAACAGGACAAAGACATGTGGAATGTTTCTTTCAAAATGCTGCACAATGTTAAAACAGTTTCCTAAAATTTGAGAATGCTAAAATGTGAACCAGTGCATGTTTTTTTAAACTCCCTGTACGGCTGCCATGCTTATCTTTTTTTGAAAGACTGATTAATTTCTCCACCTCACTCAAGTTTAAAAAAAAATGCTTGTAACTGTCATTTTTTTTAAAACTCATGGCATCTTCACTCACGCTTGTATGGTAAAACTGCCAATTAAGTCAAACAGATTTACACTAACACTTGCATCTACGCAAAGTCAGGAATGTGAATTTTAAAATGTCCACCCACCTGGTTTTCTTCACAGCTATGTTGCTGTTGAGTTTTTCCAGTCTGTACTCTCCTGTATCATGGTTCACAATGAGGATGCACTCTTTCATGTAAGGCCTCTTGGATCCCTTGAAGACGGTTACAGGAGCACTTGAACCCTATTAAAAAAAATATTTATCCAATTGCATTATCTTAAACTACTTTTTAAAAGTAATTTCAAATAACTGTAACAAACAGGAAAAGGTGTGAATATCTAAAACCATTGATAGAACAGTTTAAAACCCTGGATTTATACTTGCTGTAAAATGTACAAGGTGTGGTCCAGAGCTTAACTGATGACGCTGGGCTTAAGGTTGTCAGTTAAACAAAAGTTAGACCATATGCAGGGCTGCACCACGCCGTATACGCTGGTCACTGGGAAGCATACAAAACCTCTAAAGTTTTAATCTGTTTAAATAAATAATACTGGATTACAGCATCAGTCTAATGATTTAATAGCCACACCTCGTATATACTAAATGTCAGCCTTTGTGATTTGCTAATTGCATATTTTGCAAACTGTGATTTGGATTTGACTAATTGTTCAACCCTAATTTACAGCCTAAAAAGAAGAAAAAATAAAATACTACAAGGTAAAGAAACACTGTTGGAATTAGGCAAAAACGTGTCAAATAAACCACCTCCCAGGATCATAAGGCTGCAGTGTCCTCAATTGAACCTGACTCACTACTGAGTTTTGCAAATTGCCCAAATCCACACACATTCTGAGCAGACAGAAGCTCTGGAGCATGAAACACAAACCTCTAAATTGGGTAAAGTAATAGTAACTTGCTCTCCTTTGCCCACTTCAAGCTCCCCTTCACATGCTGTATCAATGGATGCTGGTTTGAAATCATCTGTAGCAAGAAAAGCAAGAAAATGACGTATTAATGCACATCTAAACACATTAAATGCATATTAATGACCGCAGAAATCTGTAAACATAAATCACATGGCTGCGTCTCGTGGTGCTGCAGTTCTCTACCGGCACCAGCAGGTGGTGACAGTGTGCAGATTAACGCAATGCTAACAGTAGCTAACACTTTGACAGCTTCGGGCATCAATTGCTTGCAACAGTAGAAAGTTAACTAACTTCTAAAATCAAAAACTGTCATTTTACTAAACCGTGCAAGCATGAGACGAACACAAATAAGCTGACGAAGCGGTTGAAGAAGCCACCGTACAAAGTCAAACAGCTCCCTTCGGTGTTTTAGCTAATAAGCTAACTAGCATGCTACTGTTAGCTACTGTAAAAGCCAGACGGAACCGAGTGATTCAAACCCGCACTTACATCGTACTGTGTGGTAGGCACTTTTAGGGTGTTTCTCAAATGTCTCTCCTAATTTCAGGACATGTTCTTGATTGTCAAAGTTGGAGTAAGCTGTTCCATTCATTCTCGGAGTTTCATGAAGCACAAAACTTTACTTTCCTTTGCTCTTTTTTATCCGACAACCATGTAAAGCAGAGCTCCGAGAAACTCATAGGCACCGGTGAGTCCCGCCTCTTCCTAGCTCCTCTTTATTGTGATTGGTCAATTGGACAGAGCCGGTATCTGATTGATTTAATGGCTGTCAATCAAGAGGTTGTAAGGACAGCTCAGCTTCAGTGTAAATGTCACGTGGTTTCTTGGCTTTAACCATAAGGTCTGTGGTTATAACCAACATTTTTGAGCCCTGTGCTGTTTAAGGGTCAGTTGTTATCATTGATTTGAAGTAATCCTAACTTGCTGTGTAGTTACTTAGTCCAAAGAAAAATAAACTTATAGAATATTCACAGGTGTTGTTAGGATCTTGAAACATTGGGAGCTTATTCCAGCCCAGAAATTTTTGCAGCAATTCTGCGTTTTTCAGTGTAAAAGTATAGAAACCTGAGACACTGGCAAAGTAAAGTCATCCCACTGTCCTTCCATGTATAGTCCATGTGCCACATAAATATCACAGTGAGTGCAGGGTAGCTACCAGAGGTTCTCAAACCGTGGGATTTGGAATTAGTCACATTTAAAATAATTTACAGATCCATAATCTGATTTAAGATGTACCTTGGAATTACTTTTTTCCCCCTAAATGCTGTTCTTTGTCATAAAAGTGTTTGAAAACCACTGAGGTAGACGAGTGTTGCCAACTTTTAGGTACCAGCTGAAGTGAGATTTGTTTATCTCACAGGCTAGTGATACTAGTTTTATTAGGAAAACGTTTAATTTAGGAAATAGTTTCCTCTGAAATAACAAAATACCTCTCACGATTAATAATAATTTGATTCTTTTTTTTTTTTAAGTTATTTTTTTGGCCTTTTTGCCTTTGTTATATAGGACAGTCAAAAGAGAGACAGGAAAGTGGGGGAGGAGAAAGGGGGGAAGGGGCTGCAGCAAAGGGCCATGAATGGGAGTCAAACCTATGGCTGCTGCATTGGAGACTATAGCTCCTGTATATGGGTCGCCAGCTCAACCAGGTGAGCTAAAGTCCAGTAATCCGATTCTAATTCTATCAACATTAAATCTAATCATGATTTTTTTTTTTTTGATGACAGCACCTTACAATAAAACAACAACATGTGTTTTGTTGGCATGAAGCTACATGTTGCCATATTTGTGTTGGTTAAAGATTCGAGAGGAAATGTTCTATATGTAGTTACAGAAAGCAGATTTGAGATGATGGAAAAATAGTCTGACTTTTGGGAACAGTTACAACTTTAACAGTAACATTTAAATCTCCTGACAGCTGCGATGAGCTGAGGACTCAACCTGAGAACATCCACGATGTGACAAATGATTTCACTGCAGCTTAAAATGTGACTCAAACTGCGCTCACCTGTCAGAAGTGAAGAAAAGTATGCAATATTATTTACTATTACAATGTGATCAAGATTTGTTTGGGCAGTGTGAGAGTGTAAGACAGAAGCTGAGGTCGTGTGTCTCATGCTAAAGACTCTTCCTACACATCTTCTGGCCTTGCATGCTATTTTTGAGAGTATTTTTTTTTTTTTAAACTAATACCGCTGCTGTTCATACAACTTGATAGGATAGACATACTAAGAACATATATGGGTACCAAATAATTTATCAGAATCATTTCAGGTTCACATGTGTGATGCACTGAAAGTACTGCAAAATTAAGGTTGGCAAATCTACGTGTCTGGCACAAGTTTGATCGATTTTTGACAGGCAAGAAATGTGTGAAAAACCACATTTATAAATTCGGTGATGTTCTCTGGCAAAAAAAACAGAATTCATGCAAAAAGCTGACTTAATTCTAGAGCTGTATTGATTAGTTACCAACTATTAAATTAACTGACAATCAATTAATCAGTGATATTATAAAAAATGAAAATGAAAAGAGTACATTCTCTGATTCCAGCTTCTCTTTGACACTAAACTGAATTTATTTGGGCTGTGGACAAAACATTTTAGGACGTCATCTTAGGCTTTGAGAAACACTGATTGGCCTTTTTTCCCCCCCTACTTCCCAACATTAAATCAGTCATTTAACTGAGAAAATAATCAACAGATTAATCAAGAATGAAAACAATCGTTAGATGCAGCCCTACTCAGTTCCATTCACAGCTTGCTTTGCTTGGGGAATTTGTTCAAAAATGCTATAAATATATGTTTTATTGTTGCATTATTTATCGGTGCAGGTGTACTGCGCTTGTGAGTCACACTCTTTTGTATGTGTTAAAATGAAAGTCTTGCTGGTTTGGCCTATTTTTAGAGTCCCCGTTTAACCTTTTACATTTTTTTTAATGTGTATTTTGTTTTAATTTCAGATCTTTTACTTGCTATTTTACTCGTGATTGCTCGTAGTTTTTACTCTGATAGTTGTTCATTTTGTCTCTTGGCCACTCATCAAATTCCTTTCCAAAGAGACTGACAGAATACATTTCCAATTAATATCCACAGCAAATATTAGAATTTCAACCCACAGCCTTCAACACTGACACTAATTAGCAGCATCACTGGGCTGAGCTGTAAACCTAATTACTGAATTAGCCAGAATAGCCCAATCGCAGTGCTGAGATCCTGAAGGTCTGGCAATTGCGAGACTAATGAAGTGCTGCAGCAACACTTACTGACTGCAGTTTCACGCTCGGCAGGCTGCAGGGGCTCTGAGCTCCATGAACCCTTGTTGGAGTGAAAATAATCTCTTTTCCTTTCTTTAAACTGTTAATGTTCCTAAGCCTTAAATTCCTGCCCTGCCTGCACTTTGCTGCCGCCATATGCTCCGCTGCCTTCAAACATTAAAGGATCAACATGTGAGACAAGTGGAATGTCGAGATTACACAAGTGTATTATCACCAACTGGTCACAACTTGGTCGCCACGTCCACACGAGGCGGTGGAGTGTATGTGCAAGTAGGAGGGGGTGAAGGGCTTTCTGGAGATGCAGGGAATCAACAACAACAGAGAACAAAGAGCAGTATTGAACAGACAGTAGAGACCTAAACTAGTCACTTCTGTGAGCTTTGACCTCTGGTTTATTGCATAAAGTTTATCACACAAGTTTATCAAAAGGGAACAAGCACATTGTTTCCTGAAATATTCATGATTTTAAATTAGTTTTTTCCTCTCATTTTTGTGATTAGAGTCCTTCTTTAAACTTGACAGGGCTCAGAAAATCAACCAAGACGGATTGTGTAAGGACAGGAATCCTGTTTCACTGTATCCCATGTGAAAAGAAGCCAGCATGGGTCTGTTTCCATGGACGGAGGCAAACACAGGCTGTCCTCTGGTGATATCAGTTACTGTGAGGGTTGCCCCCAGACTGTGGGAGGTAAGGTTTACTGTTTCCAAGCAACTATCCACAAGCCACAATACAGAGTTCCCAGGTTGCGAGTCAGAGGCGGCGGTGAAAGAATTGACAGCAGCAGTCTGCAGGGGGGAAAGTACATGTTCAGCCTGAGACTACGACCAGCCTGCAAGGATGCATTCAATCAAATGTTAGCTTTTGTCAACCCAGCCAGAATTCTGTGGGCACATTTGCATACAATTTTGTCCAGAAATGAAGAGAAATGCACTTGACTAACTTTTACAGTCACATTTTTCAGGCCCTTGTCTCTTCAACAAAACAGAAATATCAATGACAAGCCATGAACTGGAGAAATCAGACTAAACCAAATAATTCAAATTTTCAGAGATAAAAGTACAGCCGTTCCAATTTTTTTTTACAACTTGTACACCAGAATAACTAAAGTTTGTGTTCACTTTACAGAATATTGATACCATAAAACCATGATTGTCGGCTGAAAAGAAAAAGCACACAGCTCACACAATCTGCTTTCTTCCTAATTATTTATGAATAAGCCAAAGAAGATCAGCAGGTTTCAGGTGTGCAACCAAAAAACGTTTGTGTCAAAGTAAGCAACAAGTGATTTAAACTTTTAATATGCAAATATAGGGCTGCAGGGTGGTGCAGTTGGAAGCAAAAAGGTTGCTGGTTCGCGTCCCGGTGGGGGCACCGGAATCTTTCTGCGTGGAGTTTGCATGTTCTCCTCGTGCAGCGTGGGTTCTCTCCGGGTTCTCCGGCTTCCTCCCACACAGTCCAAAAACATGTTGAGGTTAATTGGTGATTCTAAATTGTCCGTAGGTGTGAATGTGAGTGTGCTTGGTTGTCTGTCTCTAAGTGTAGCCCTGTGATAGACTGGTGACCTGTCCAGGGTGTCCCCTGCCTTCACCCTGAGTCAGCTGGGATAGACTCCAGCCCCCCCGTGACCCTAGTGAGGATTAAGCGGTGTATAGATAATGGATGGATATGCAAATATGTCCTGGCAAGATATTTTAGAACCATTTTTCTCCAGACTTGAATAAAAGCTCAGTCAAAATGATCACATCTATTTCAAATATATATACAGCACTTCGGATGGTTTCATTTTTATCTGTGTCTTTCAGAAAATAGGGCTGTTGATCAAAGCTGTAACTTTTACTTTATTGCTTTTATTGTATGCTGATATAGTCTGTATACTTTTGTAGTGAATGACAGTTGTCTTAGCCTATTTTTATGTTGTACATTTTGTATGACAAACACTTTAATGCTGCCTTCTTTGTCAGATGACTTCCATCCATCCATTATCTATACACCGCTTAATCCTCACTAGGGTCACAGGGGGCTGGAGTCTATCCCAGCTGACTCAGGGTGAAGGCAGGGGACACCCTGAACAGGTCACCAGTCTATCACAGGGCTACACTTAGAGACAGACAACCAAGCACACTCACATTCACACCTACGGACAATTTAGAATCAGCAATTAACCTCAACATGTTTTTGGACTGTGGGAGGAAGCCGGAGAACCCGAAGAGAACCCACGCTGCACGGGGAGAACATGCAAACTCCACGCAGAAAGATCCCGGGTGTCCTCACTGGGACACGAACCGGCGACTTTCTTGCTGCGAGGCAACAGTACTAACCACCGCTCCACCATGCAGCCCCAGATAGCTCTTGATAATACAATTTTAATCTCTACAGCACCTTCACCCAATCAAATAAACA